AGAAAAAGAGAATTAAAGGAAAAATTAAATCTGAGTTTTAATTTTGTCGGAGACCAAAAAAATATTGCTTCCTTAACCGAGAAGGAAATAATGGAATTAGCCATCAACGATTATACTCGGGAAGTTAAAGCATTTATTCAGGATAACCCCCACTCAAAACTAACATTAGTTAATTATCCCCACAATGAGCAACAATTGGTCTCATTAAGTGCTGAATTAGCCAAAATCGGCAAGAAAATAAATAATATTATCCTGATAAATACTGCCAATTATGAGTTACTATTGGATTTAAAGAACAAATATTTAATTTGCCCTATTTGCGAAAAAATATATCACCACCAAGCAGTAGTAAAAGAAAATGAGAAATTCATTTGTCCGCAAGATGCTGAATGCCATTTTGATTTATCTACTATCAAAAAATATAACGAGTATATTATTGATTATCATTTGAAAAATACAGAGTCAGTAATTAAAAGATTACTTACGGCAAATAAACTTACACCTTCCTCAATCATTCAATTAACGGTTCAAAAAGAAGAAGAAATTTTGGCAGGTGAGATCCAGAAAAATCTGCTGAAAGTAATAGACAGTTTGTAAAAGTCCCGACCATAGAGCCTTTTGTATAAAATAAAACACTAAATAAGCCTCTAATTGGTGAATACTAATTCTTTATTCTTTTATCCCGACTAACTTTATACTCCAAATTTTTTGTCCGATAGGGTTATTTTGGCAACATTTCTTGGTTATCCCTCTTTATTTACCTTTCTTACCTAACGCTTTGCCTCCTTTTACTTTCATGATTACAAAAGTAGTTATCAAGAGATTACCAACGAACAATAACCATAAAGCAATATTTCAATTTCTCATCTGATCTTTTTCTCCTTTGACTTTACCAATTTCATTTTTGGCTGCTTGTTGATAAAAATCGGTTAATTCCGAGAGAGAAGTAATTTTGTCAATTTGGGTCTGATAAGAATTTTTTAGACCTAATTCTTTCAGTACTTTTTCTGCTTGCTGCTTCAATTCCGGAGTTGGAATATTTTCCTTATTTTGTTCTCTCAATTTTTTAATTTCTTTCTCCTGCTCGGTTATTTTCTGACGGAGATTAGCCAGAGTGGTTTCTTGGTTAGTATCAGGATTGACAATTAATTTCTGAATCTCGGCTAATACTTGTTGTCGTTCATATTTATCACCAGTTAAATTTAATCTTAACTGTTCCACCATGAATTTCAATAAATCCTGCTCTTTTTGTTCGATTTGGGCTTGAAAGGCCTCTTTTTCTTTTCGACAATGTTCTTGTTGTTGGCTTAATTTGTTTTGGAAATCGCTCTTTTCAGTTTTTAAACTATTTAAATCTGCCAGCATGACATTAAAATCACTATAACCTGCTTGGGTTAGTGGTTTTTTATTAATTAATTCATTTTCTCAAGAGTCGTCCGGTTTTTCCTGACCGGCCGCAATTCCTAAACCTTGTAATTTAGCCTTATACTTTGCCACATCTGCAGCACTCGTATTGGCTGGAGTAGACAATATGGTCTCAATTTCATTTAAACGAACGTCATCTATTTCATTTTTATTATTCGCATTTAACTTAATTAAAGTTTTTAGATTAGTCTTGGTCTTAATTTTCGCAATTATATCATTATTAATGCGAGTTAATTCGGCTTCATTATCTTTTATTTGGTTCACCCGTACCGTATCAATGGAATTATCGTTTTTAATTACTCCTAAATCGTTTTTCAGAGTGGTGATTTTGGCTTTCTCCGTATCCAAATCGGCTTTTTTGACTAATTTATTTTCCCAATTCGCTGGGAGAGTTCCGGCGGGGTTGCCATTAACCATCTTTCTTAATTCATCATAGACATTACGGGAAGTATTTTGTCAGTTGTTGGGGATAGTATTATTATCAATAGCATGCTTAATCTCATTTTTCCGAGTTGTTAAATTAGTTTTTGCGGTCTTATAATCGGCCAAATCCGCGGCCGTTAACTTATTATTCACCACATCGGTCACGTCTGTTCCTATACTTAATTCACTCCGCACCAATTTTACTTGACCCTCCAGGTTATTTCTTTCTCCTTTCACTTGATTTAATTCAGTTGTCGCGTCTGCTCCTTTCGATGCCGTAATGCTTCGGGTGAGTAGGGTGACGTGCTTGGCTAGTGCTTTTGCGTCGGTTAAAGTGGTGTCATTTTCTTTTAATTTATCGTGCCAGTTAGTATTACCAGCAGGAATACCAGGCGAAAATTCCACGATTTTAGCATTGATTTGGTCGTCGGTCAAGCCACTCGTTTGGATTAAATTTTGTAAAGCGACACGGGTTTGGACTTTGGCTTGCTTTAAGTCGTGGTCCGTGTTGAGTTTGTTGATAGCCCGAGTAATAATTTTGACATAGTGGCTTAATTGTTCGGCATTGGTAATTATAGAGTCATTGGCTTGTAATTTTTGGGTCCAGATCGCTCTGCTGGTGCTATTCGGTTCGATTTCATTGGCCGCGACCGTAATGTCGTTGTCGTTTAATGTTCCTTTAAAAATGCCTAAACGATTCGCAGCATGAATTTTGGCATTTTTTATATCAGTTGTCCCTTTCACCTTACTAATAGCGTCCGTAATAACATGAACGTATCGAGTTAATTCCTCTGTGCTCTTAATTTCATTGTTGGTGTCTTTTAATTTGGTTTTTCAACTCCCACCGGCCGGAAGAATGTCGGCTTGTATTTTCTCAGCCGCATCGTTAATGTCGCCATCATTTAAGTTTTCTTTTAACTTTTTTAAATCATCCAAGGCCTTTTGTTTAGCAGATTTTAAATCCTGGTTAATTTTTGCTTGGTTGATAACGCTGGTAATCAAAGAAGTTCATCCTCCTAATGTTTTGTAATCATTTATTCTGTCATCCGTGCTGGAAAAGACATTTTTCCAATTATCGGTTCCTGTAATGTTCTCATTAGAATTTCTGCTTATTCCCCGATTGATATCGGCGTCCGTAATAGTTGCGTCTTGGAGGTTCTCCAAACCAGTTAAGATATTTTTTTTGGCTTCGTTTAATTCAATCTCTTTCTCCTGTCCTTTTAAGGTCTCAATAGCCTCACTGACCGCTCGCACATAAGTATTTAATTCTTGGCTATTGGTGAAAGTGGCGTCGTCGGCTTGTAATTTATCGTTCCAATTGTTTTGGGCGGCTCAATGGTTTGTGCCGTTATTAGCATCGTCAACTCTGATTTGATTATTAATATTCGCATCGTCTACATCGCCTTGCTGGTTTTGGAGAGCCGTCAATGCTTCGGCTTTGGCAGTGGTTAAATCTTTTTGGTATTTGAGAACGGTCTCTTTTGCCTCTCCAATTACTTCCTTAACTCGTGCTTTCCAATCATCCCGTTCCGTTTCCATCGCCTCAACTTTCAACTCAATAATAGCATCACGGACTAGAAAAAAATAATCGTCTAAAACTTTCAAATTTACGACCTCACCAGTGGGTTGTAATTTATTTTGTCAACTTTCCCCTTCCGGAATAGTGTCTCGCTTAACCTTATTCACCGCCGCGTTGACTTCTTCATCTTTTAAATTACCTTTCAATTTCGTCAAATCATTCAAGGCACGTTTTTTTGCCAAATCACAAATGGCGTCGCTAGAATACAAAGAAAAATCTCTTAATCCATCAATGTTAGTTTTGTTTTTTATTCCATTTTTCCAATTGAAACCATCGGCTAAAATATCTGGGTGGAGACGACTGATTTCCTTACTCAAGTCAGTATCATTAGTGTTAAAAATTTTTTCTAATAAATCATAAGGTCATTCGACTGCTGTTTTAGCATAGGACAAATCTAATTGATTTTCTACATTTCTAATGGCTTTATTAACGATATCAAAATATTCAATTAATTGTTTAGGAGTAGCGAGAGTATTATTATTTGGATCTAATTTTGTCTTTCAATCGCCGTTTTTGGGAATAGTATCTTTTTTAATTTTTTCTGCCTCCTCACTCAAACCTTTGTTGCTAATCAATATGCCTTTTAATCGATTTAAATTATCCAGCACATAGGCTTTGGCTTCTTTCAGGTCATCTTCAATCGTTTTTTCCAAGATTAGGGTTTTTTTGCTGGAAAATAAACTTTCAAACTCATGCCCTCCCTCTGCACTCTGAACTATATTATATGTCTGATCCGCTAATAGTATTCCGCTAGGATAAGTGAGTTTAAAGAATCCTCCTTTTTCTCAACTTGAATCCACAAAAAAAGTAGAATAAAATCTTACGTTTTCACCTTTTCTAAAAGTTTTAAAATTAACGCCGGGCTTACTATAATGACCAATATCTAAAACCACCTCCTCATCATTAATTATCTCAAACTCTCCATAAGGCATGGTTCCATCTTCAAGACCCTGTCCCTTTCATTCCAAAATCACAGTCTTTTTGTTGGCTTCTTTGGCCTTTTCTCGCAAATCAACTAATTTGGTTTGGTCGAAATTGCCGTCCTCCGTTAGAATGTCCTTGTTCTTTTTCTCGTTAATGATAGTTTGGTAT